GATATAATATGCTCTCATTAGATTTGAAAATGTTAATTTAATATGAGCAGCTCAAGTTCCATTTGGCATCAGGCACTTCTGTTATATCATGTCATTAGTTTCTACTTAGTTCCCTTTCATTCGTATTTAATTGTTGTGCTAATACTTGCTTGATTGTGGAGACATTTTAATCTGAGTGAAGTACTTCCCAGGGAAACATTAAATGTTTTCTTAGAAAAATATTGAATGGTGGGTTCTATTGGTTAGGGTTTAGGGGAGTGATGTAAATCTATAGTGGTTTAATGGCTGATAAATGTTTATGAACTTCTTTTCTAATATGGAATGGTGACTTTTCAAATGTTTGATCTTCATTCAATGGAAGTTTGCGATTTCTGCAAGTCTATTGGCAACTATGCTCTCGTCTTTGTCTATCTCCCTCTCATTTCCATTATGGTTTGATGATAGAGGTATGTTCTTTTCCTATGTTACTTGGGTTATGTGTGAAAAGAAATTATGAACCTACATAAATTTGGTTAATTAATATGATAAATCAATAACTGGTGGTTTGATTCACTGGTAATTGGCAGGGTTTTGAATTAGCATTGCAAATTATCTGATTTACTAGTGGATTTTTCAGTTCTATGGACCCCTTTTGATTGCTTGGACATTCATTCTGAGCTCCTATGCTTGCAGGGATGCCATAGCCTCCAAGTTTGCAGTCCTTTGTTGGTCCTCTTGTGATATACTTATCAGGATAATGATGTGCTCTAATCAGTTTTCTAGGAGAATGACTTCAAACAAGACCTTGATTGTACTATTGTGACTTGAAGCTTGTTTTTATATCAAATATATCCTTATTTGTGATAGGACCTTTGGAAGTTTAGTGCTTGAGAGAATGGTTTCCTTGATTTTTCTTTGTTTTATATGTTTTTTTTCTTGCCTTTTTAGTTCTTTTTTTTTTTTTTAGTTTTGGTTCTACTTTCTACTACGATATGTCATTTGCCTATCCATGGTTAGAAAAATCTTGCACTCTTATTAGTTTACCTTCATCTGACTATTTTTGGAACTTGCATGTCATACATAAAATTTTATTTGGTTGCTCCAATTTAGTGTTCTAACAATTCCACCTCAACTTAATGTTTTCAAGATGATTTCTTACCAATAATGTCAACCCCTTGGAACATACATTTAAATTGCTCTTCCGGTGAGTTGTGTTCCTTTTATATGATGACTTTGAGAAGCCTTGGAATCATTGTTTTACTTTTACTATTATCTCTTTAACTAGGCCTTAATGCTATGATTTCTTGATTTTTTTTTAGTGAATAAGCTATCTGTGTTGGAAGAATTGGTAGATTGTTTGTGATTGATCTTAAGCATATACACTTTCTTCTCTTTGCAGCTAACAGTACATGAAAATTTATTTTTTGTTTTTGTTTCAAATCAGTTTAATGACATGGTTGAATAGCTCAAAGGGGGTTTAAGGACTAGAAGAGTTTCAATTGTGAAAGTGAAGTAGAACAATTTGAGATAATTTGGGTTATTTTTTGTGCAAAGACACCTAATATGCCACCAGTTATGGCACAAAGTTTTAGAGTAGGTAGGTCGCCATTCACCTCTAGTAGTGGATATGAATCTCCTCCACTCAACCCTATTGTTGTCTCAAATGGGGATGATTACAAAAGCGATGGTTCCAATTTTGCACCACAGTGAGTTTCTTGCATGTATTCCACTTGTATTGTGTTAAGAATTGACACTTGTTCTTGCTTTAGCTAGCTTTAAGATTATGTAATTTTACAAGAAATTGTTGCTTGAATAGCATTTTTTAAAGCCTAAGACTAAAGATGGTTTTCCCATATTTGTCTCAAATAAATGGTTTTGTGCTATTGTTTTCAGCGGGATCTTATTTGGTAGATTTGTCTCAAAATATTTGTCAGAAAGCTATTTTGCAGTCGCAAAAAATGTTTTTTTTAGTAGTGATAAGACTGAAAAAATCTATCTACTCAATAATTTTTTTTAAAAATGTCCTTGAAACTAATTGCGACGGCAACAAGAAAGTTGCTAATATATTGTAGGCATTTTTTTTTTATTTTTTTGCGACGACAAAACATTAGTCGCCATAAGTAGGTTAGGCGGTCGCAAATAGTTTGCGACTGCTGTTTTGCGGTCGCAAAAAGTATTTGCCATCCCCAAATTCGCGTCCCCCATTTGTCGTCGCATGGGCTGTCGGTCTTTTGCAACTGTATTTCTATTATTTGCTACAGCTTGTAGCGGTCGCAAAAAAATGTTTTTTTAGCAGTGATAAGACTGAAAAAATCTATCTACTCAATAATTTTTTTAAAAAAATAAATTTCATATTCAATAATCTTATTCTAATCATTTCGGAAAGGCGACTCCAAAAATATCAAATTTATTAAAAACAGATTTATATAGTTAAAGTATATCATTTTAAAAAATTTGGCACACAAAAAATTCATAACAAGGCAAAATTTTTAAGAATTATATCCTTACAACATGTTTAGACTTACTGATCAGAAAGTGCTATACAGGTGTCTATCACCAACAAAGATCAAAACTTGAGCCTCCCTACCAAATCACTACATCACGGGAATTGTTGGCCAATTATTAGATTTTAAAATATTATAATAGTAACAACTAATGTGAATATGAATTTTATTTGTTTGTATATTTTGTCTCAAAAATAAATTTGCAAGACGTGCATACATCTTCCTTACCAAACAATAATTTGGACATTGGGGGTAAATTACTGTTTACTGACTAAAATTGTTCCTAATGATATTGATGAGATTCAAAATCGTTCAATTTTTTTTTTTTTTTTTTTATTTTATTTGTTGAACACTTTTTTTTTTTTTTTTTGAAAAATGATATACAAGTCTACTTTTTAGATCTAATGATGTGTCATCATCTTCTTAACACATCATTGAATTTAGAAAATTGATCTAATTTTGGGGTATGAATATACTTTTTTTTCTTCTATCGGCAAAAGTCAATCGTTAGCTGTTAGATTAGTACTTATGGGAGTTAGCCTCTTCATTCTTTACAAAGCACTAAATGCTTACCTCCTTAATTCAACTCTCTTTAAAGAGAGTTGAACCCATGACCTCCCTCTAACTCATAAAAAAGTCATGATGGTCAATTAAGTTAGGCCTAATTTTTTTATTTAAAATTTTTTATACCCGACTGAACTTGTATATATGATAAATTGCAGATACTGTTGCAGCCAAAAAGAGAACTTCAATGGAATTGGAGTGGTAAAAATAGTCAGATATGGTAATGACATAATGGGTGATGGTGGTAATGATGCAGTAATGGTTTCTATCGGTGTAGTGATAATCTTTACTTACGTTAATTTGATTCTTACACTACAATATATAAGAGTTTTAGAAACAAATTTTTTGGTTTCTAAAAGTGAAAATTTTGTTGCAAAAGACATTTAAGGACCAATTTCTATCGTTGTGAAAATAGTCACTAAAAGGTCATCCCAAAAAGTAAAAAATTAAGACCTTTAGCGACACAATTTTTAAAATGCCACTAATAAATATACTTTTAGGGACAAAATAATTTGGTCTCAAAAAAGTTTATTTTTTGAGACAAAAAATTTGGTCTCAAAAGGATAATAATTCATCACTAATATCTAATTTTCATTGCTAAAATTATAATAACCATACTTTTCGCAACAAAAATATTTGGTCTCTAAAAAATAATTTTATCCCTAAATTTTAGTCTCTAAAATCTTAATTTTTTTGTAGTGTTATAATCTTAATTTCTTAATTTTAATATTTTTGAATTATGAAATTGGATGAAAAAAGAGAAAAAAAATTTGTAAAATATAAGTAAAATATTATTATATTTCACCCACATTTTATTCATATTTTTCATTTCATCTTCTTTTGTAAGTCTCTATTTAAATCCATGATGCAAACAGAACATAAATTTTTACGTATTTATAAATTTATCTACAATCATGTAAACTAGTCTATATTAATTATTGATCAATATAAAAAATCAAACGCAACAAATCTCCACAAAACTAGTTAAATTTTTGTCAAATTTTTACTTAAAAAATTATTTTTGCTATTTTGACCATACACATTTTTAATAAACACTCCCCCCAAAAAAAAACTCTCTATTCTTTCTTAAAGTATTTAAATATTATTTTTATTTAAAATTAATTTTTATAAATAAAAAATACAACTACCTATATTAAACTAAAATAGCTAACTTGATAGTGTTTGATGGAATTAAAATTTAATGATTTACTCACTATTTTAGCTTAAAAAAAATAACTAATTTGACAGAGATACCTTAAAACCAAAAAATAAAAATAAAAAAAATTCAATATCACACTGATAATTCACTATTTTTTCTTCTATATACATGGCGACATGATTTTTACAAAAATAAAATACTCGACGGAGTTTACACATTAAACGATTTGGATCATCAAAATGAAACACATGGTGAAGCTCACAGGGCCAACAGTACGCTCCAATCCACGTACCCTTAGAATTTTAACTCCTCAAACCCAACTCATTGTAAAATCAGTAAGGGTGAATTTAGATATTATATTATGTTTCAGAGTAATGCTTTATCTCCAAACTAAATGGATTAACATCCATTGCCATAATAGTAAAGTTTTTGATTATTTTGTCAGGTAGAGTGGAGCCTTAGGTGAGACTGCTCAATAATTACCCTCCCAAGTGGTTATGTTAACAGTGTTTGAGAAAGGGTTGCTCTGAACATCACAACCTGTTTGTCTTGAGCAAGATCCTCTAGAGTGATTTTTTTCTAAAGTTTCCTAGAGTGTTATATTGTGTGGTTGAGATTTACTGGCAAGTCACATCAATTTTTCTGATGTGACTTGCCAGTAAATCTCAACCACACAATGTAGTACTCTAGGAAACTTTAGGAAAATTTCACTCTAGAGGATCCTTGGTGGTTTGTCTTTCCTCTCCATCTTCGAAGAAAAACTGAAAACTTTCAGTTTTGATCTTCGTTCATAGATGGCGACGGAGGAGGATGAGATGTTCCCTATTCATAAAATCCACGATAACCTCATGCCGGCCGTGGTATATCACATGTCCAAACTCAAAATCTCTGAGGCGGACAAAAGTGTACGCAAATTCATTGACTGGATCAACAACGATCTGGTTGATGTCCATGGCGCTCTTCATAGGCTCAAGGAGACGGAGCTACTTCTCAACGTTCAGATGAAGGAGTTAGTCTGTGTCTTGAATGATATCTCCAAAACCAAGGCTGGCATGGATTCCATGAGATTGGAGTCTGAACAGTCCATTGGACAACGCCGAATGAAAAAAGAAGTCTCTAAACTGGAAAAGGTTGTTACCAAATTGAAGGAGACGGTGAATTTGAATGGCAGTTTCAATCTTCACTCGTACGTGGAGTCCAAGGATGAGATGTTGGCAATCCATAAGATTGACCGTGAACTCATGCCGGTTGTGCTAAATCACGTGTCTAAGCTCAAGAGCTCCATCCCCGAAACCCACAGGGAAGAACTGAAGGATTTGGATGGGTTCAGGATCGATCTTCTTGATGCCAGAGACGCCATTGGAAAGCTCAATGAAGCAGAGCGCCTTGTGAATGATCGGATGAAAGAGTTAGTGTGCATCAACCTGGACGACATCTCTAACGAAATAAATGCTACCGCGGAAGGAAGACAAAGTGCTGCGCTCAAAGAATTCATGGGATGGGAATATAATGAGTTTTTTGATTGGGATGACGATTCTGAAGCTGAACCCTCTGAAGAAGAATCCGTGAAATCAAAATCAGGTGAAATTTCTTATTCGCTTGACAATCCTAAATCCCCTGAGCTTACCATCCACCCCGACCAAATCCAAAACGAACTCTATCAACTCCACAATACTCTTCCCAAATTGAGACATACCTTGACTTTGATCCCCAGAGTTTTACCTTCAGCCCACATCCTCCAAGTTTCACCTTCAGCTAATGTTGCCAATGTTCAACACCCCTTAGAAGCAATAGAGGGAACCACCAATTTTGCAAGTTTTGTGAACTCCCTAGATACTTCTCTACATTCGACAATGCCACTTCTTTATATTTTTAAAGACTTTCAGATATTTTATGATAGCCTAGATGACATATTGAAACTATGTTTGTTATGTTTCTCCGCATTCCCTGATAATTCTGTTATAAACAAGAGGGTCTTGATCTATTGGTGGATCGGAGAAGGCTTCATAGAGTCTCTTGATAGGAGAGGAAAGACTGCAGAAAGCACTGCAAATGAGATTTTGAATGCACTCGCGGCGAAGGGCTTCATCGAGCCTGTCTATAGAAAGAGGCACCCAGAAGTCCATAGATACAGAGTGCACCCTTTAATCCGTTTTATGGTGGTTGTGCTTGCCCGAAAAGCAAAATTCTTTGATATAGATGACGCAGGGTGTTTCGTCACAAACACCGACGTTTCTAAGGCGTCTCTCAAGGCATGCTTGGTAAGAACTGAAGAAGGATCTTCCCAGCATATGCTGGGGGACAGTCTTACACTGAAGAAACTGGACACATTGTTCAATGTCAATGAATCTTACCTAGATCTCCAAAGCCACTGGTTCGCGAAGTTAGAAGTTGTCAGAATTCTTCAGCTAGGGAGGTGGCAAACCTCTATCAAGCATCACATCGAAGTAAGTAACACGGACTTCTTAAAAAGTTTGAGTAATATGAAATATCTTAGGTACTTGAGCCTGCAAGGAATCTCTAGAATTCCAGAGCTTCCAGTTTCGTTCTCCAACCTCACCAACATGAAGGTCCTAAACCTTAGGGCATGTCACAATTTGGAAAAGCTCCCAGATGGAATAGGAAAGCTCAAGAATCTAACACACTTGGACATCTCCGAGTGCTACTTGATAGTCCATATGCCGCAGGAACTTGCTTTGCTCACCCAACTCCAAGTCCTTAAGGGGTTTGTCATTTGTGACCTCAAAAGTGTCGAACATGATGTCTGTAGGCTTATTGAATTATCACATCTGAAGAAGTTGAGAAAATTGAGTCTCTATATCAGCGGGGAGCCTAATGACACATGCATGACCTTCTCTCTCTCCACAGGGTCAAAACCCAGCTTGCCCATGGCTGCCACTCCAGGTGCCGTCGTTGTCACCGGCGACCAACACCACCGGTAGCCTCCTCTCCGAAGCTCTCTCTCTCTCTCTATGCACCGAGCCACCACCTGCACTGCCACGGGTGATAGAGAGAGGGCCATTGTCAATCTCTCTCTCTCCCTGTTGTTGTTTCAGTTTCTGCAGGGCACTAGCATACACCATGGGCGCAAGACACTTCATCTTCCTCATCCTCACACTCTCTCTCATCATCACCATTCCCACGATGAAAGCTCACAACATCACAGAGATCCTCTCTTCCTTCCCAGACTACACTCTCTTCAATAGCTACCTCACCCAAACAAGGCTCTGTGACGAAACAACAGTCGCGAGACCATCACAGTCCTGGTTCTCAACGAAACGTCCATGTCTATCCTCGCATCCAAACACCCCCTCTCAATCGTCAAAGCCGAACTCAGCATCCACATCCTCCTCGACTACTTCGACGCTGCCAAGCTCCACGACCTCGCCACCGCCACCGTCACCACTCTCTACCAGACCACCGGCGAAGCTGAAAACGGAGTCGGCTTCGTCAACATCACCGACTTACAAGGCGGCAAGGTCGGATTCCGATCGGCGGCTCCGGGATCGGCTCTCGACTCGACTTACACTAAAGAGGTGAAGAAAGTACCGTATAGTATTGCGGTTTTGGAGATCAGCGAGCTGATCATTGCGCCGGGGATTTTGAATTCGTCGGCTGGGTCGGCTTCCGATGTGAATATCACTGATGTGATTGTGAAGGCTGGGTGTATAACTTTTGCGTCGTTGATTGTGGAGACTGGTGTGTTGAATGTGTATCGGAAGGTTGTGAATACTGGATTGACGATTTTTGCACCGTCTAATGAAGCGTTTAAGGCTTCGAATTTGCCAGATCTGAGCAAGCTCACGAATGCTGAGGTGATCGTCGGTCTGTCCATGTCCATTCTTATTCACTGTCTGTGCCATCGCCGAACTATTCCGACTATCCTTGGTGCTGATTTTGATTTGTTGATTGCTGCTCATTGTTTTTTTTTTTTTCTTTGAGAAAGAGAATAAGACTCTGTTAAACCCATATTAATTGCTTGGTCACTGAGAGAAGTAAAATGCCCAGATATTGAATTTTGCAATTTTGGCCTGAGATGGGTAATACACTATTGAACCTGCCCCGATTTATATAACTTGAAGAAAACAGATTTCAAATCCATGTCTGAGCTACGAAATTCTATTGATGAACTTGACTTGTGCCTCGCATCCAATGACAGGCTATAAGAAGAGAGCTAAGCTCCCCTTGTAAATGTACAACAAAATTTAATATACACACCTCATTTCACATCGTATCAGAGCACAGGTGTTTTTCCTAGTCTCTACATTTTTTTTTCTTCTTCTTCGCAGACTGCTGTATCTCTCGTCTACATCACATTTGGACAGATTGTTGCATCTCTCGACCTTCTCTGTCTTCCCTAATCAACCACACCAGTCTCTTCGTCTCCTCACGACGAATCCACCGCCACCAAATTTATCACCAGCCGACGTTCCACGCGCCTCCACGCGCCGCCAGAACTTAAGGCCACGCGCATCCTCGTTCGCCGACGCGCTCTACGCGCCTCTGCACTGTCCCGCGCTACTGTGCGCCGCGGCCTCCTCTGCTAACGTAAGCCGCGTGTTTCTGCGTCAGCCGACGTCAGCCCTACTGCTTTCGTGCGCCGCCTGCTGTCCTCTGCTATTGTGCGCCGCGCACCTCTCTGCTAACGTGCGCCGCGCCTATGACGTCAGCCCTGTCGCCCATGACATCATCTGTTTGACCGAATTTTGACCAGCCACTTTGACCAGCCCATTTAGTGCTTTTCTGGTCCTATTTTTTGGTCAGTTCACTCTTTTCCCACTGATTTCGACCTTCTAAATTCACTGGTACACTCGGATTTTTTAAATTCTACCTCGAAAGTACGATTTTGCCCTCATGGATCGCCTCGACTCCTCTAACCACCCTATTTCCGTTGTTCTTGACGGGACTAACTATGTCTTATGGGCACAAGCTATGTCTGGGTTTCTCAAAAGAAAGAAACTTTGGCGCATCATCACTGGGGATGTGTGCAAACCCATCCACGCAACCACTGAATCCGCTGCCACCACGGACTCCGCTGCCAAATATATCGATCGTCTGGAGGATTGGGATAGTAAAAACTATCAGATCATTACCTGGTTTCGCAATACTTCTATTACATCTATCAGCCTTCAGTTTGGTCGGTTCCAACTTGACTCTGCTTCCTCTCCCGCCAAGGACATCTGGGATTTTTTACAAGAACGCTATCAGACTACTGGCCTTGCTCACCAATATCAGCTTCTGAGTCATCTTCACCGTATTCGCCAAGAAACAACTCAGACCATTAATGATTTCCTCTCCCAAATGTATTATGTTTGGGATCAGCTCGCTCTTTCTGAACCTCCATGGGATTGTACTAAGGATGCTGCCTTGTTTACTACTTACCGTGACCAACATCGTTTGGTTCAGTTTCTCATGGCTCTTACTTCCCGTTTTGAGCCCGTACGCGCATCTCTCCTCCATCGCACTCCTTTGCCCACTCTTGAGCAAGAAATTTCTGAACTCCTGTCAGAGGAAACTCGGTTTGGTACTCTCCATCCGCACCCTGTGGACTCTGTTCTTGCTACTCCCCAGACTAAGAGTTATCCTTCCCCATCTTCACCACAGAAGTCAACCTTCTGCAACTACTGTCAAAATCGCAGTCTTCTGTCGACTCATCTTCTGGTTAATTGTCCTGTTCGCCTCTGTCGGTTTTGCAACAAGACTGGTCCTGGTCATCTCCAACAAGATTGCTTCCGTAATCCCGCCCATGCTTCTCGCAATCGCAATGGTCCTTCCCCCGGGCATTTTTCCCGCAGCACCTCACATCGTTCTAGGCCTCTGTTTAAATCACTCCCTGCTCAACGCACTGCTGCTGCTGCCTCAGAGGATTTACCTTCCCCTGTCCCTATAGATCATTCCACTCCAGTCTTCTCTCACACAGATGTCGAAGCCATGTTTCAACATTTTTGGCAAAAATCCGGTACCCCTTTCTTTCCTGCCTTGTCTGTCACCGCAGGTAACACTTCCTGGTACTTTGACTCCGCTTGTTGTAATCACATGACCTTTGACCCTACTATTTTTACTCCTATCTCTTTTACTCCTCATGTTCCTTCTATCCATACTGCTGATGGGTCTCTTCTGTCTGTAAGTCATGTTGGTTCTGTTTCCACCTCTCACTTATCTTTATCACATGTCTATCTTATGCCTGCTCTTACTTTAAATCTTATCTCCATTAGTCAATTATGTGAGCATGGTCTAACTGTTACCTT